CTGACTTTTGTTCCTTTTTCGACTTCCAAAAATTTGTCTTCACTTTATTTGCATATCAATCAACAGGTTGTGTATATAAACCTGCTTTCCCCTCTGGTCTCTCAGTCACTGACGAAAGCTAGTGGATACTAGCTGAAACGTCTGACGTTTTCAAAATCATATCCAGTTGCTTGAGTAACTGTTTTTTGGCAAATCACCATTGGTTTGTTTGTCGTCGTCAATGTCATTCTGCTGACATATTCAGCAGGTTTGTTTGTTTGAACCATTCTTTACTTATGAGAAGCTCAAATCGGCAGGCAGGCCGCTTTTCACTCAGGTCATGAGGAAAGAGGGTATGGTCAGACATAACATAAAAAATTATCTTAGTTATCCTAGTACTGTACAAATACCTCGGCTTTTTGTATCTTTTGTCTTAAAAAAGCCAGTCATTTTGGTGACGTATTATATAAGTACACTAGCCACCATATCTACTACCAATAGATTCGTTTGGGCCTGATGTTCTTTTTTTATAAAGAAACACTCTGCGCTAACATCATCATCATACATATCATCATCATCATACATCCGGAATTAAATCCGGTGATGTACGTTTGATATGAATGAATGAATGGACGTTATTGCTCGACAGTTTACAGGGTACAATGTTTTGATTTTTTTATTTTATTAGTTTGCACATTAAACAAAACAGACAATAATAATACAAAACGAGGACAAAAACAGGTGCAGGAGGAGGGGAGAAGCATGGAATGCTTATACAAGGCCCTCCGCCTCTAAACTATACAAAATTAAATATAATGTATGGCAACAATGACAATTGCATGATACAACAATGCAAGACTATTCTGAGAAACTAGGACTGCAGAAATATGAACGTAAATGCCGTATTGACATATGTTAAACTTTCCTGTCTGTTACAATACATCCCCTCTTTTGTAAATATAACGCACTGCATATAAATTGGCCTAAGTACGTAGATATAATGTAAGTAGTGGAATGGCATACGTAGCTTGAAAGTGTCTATGACTTTGGCAAAGGTTTACTAGATTTACACGAGATAAAATTCATCACTTTTGTCTATCTGCAGATAACGTCACTCATGGTGGACACTATAACAGGCCTTGTCTCTCTTGTGTGTTCATAAACTTAGTACACCCTGTTCTTTTGTAAACAGTTAAAAGCAGCGTGAATTCTGAAGAGATTTACAAGCTGAGCAGAAAGACTGAACTGCGTCTAGCCGAGCTAATCAGTAAGTAAAATAATGTAATAATCATAATTTTAGGATCATTTTTCTTTCGTAATCTGTACTTTGCTATGATTAAATTACTGAATGTGAAATTCCGTGGATTTCGGGAATATTCTTTATGAAAACAAAACTATTCTTTTATGCCGATCAGGATCAAACAGACTTCCGGAATCGTGGGACCACCTGGCCCTCCTGGAGAAAAGGGGGCCATGTGCATGGGGCCGGCTGGCCCTGGGCCTATCGGGCCTCCTGGTCCTCCTGGTGAAAAGGGGGCCATGGGACCAGCTGGCCGTCCTGGGGAAAAGGGGGCCATGTGCATGGGGCCGGCTGGCCCTGGGCCTATCGGGCCTCCTGGTCCTCGTGGTGAAAAGGGGGCCATGGGACCAGCTGGCCGTCCTGGGGAAAAGGGAGCCATGTGCATGGGGCCGGCAGACCTGAATGAATGTACCAGGAACCCATGCCTACATGGGCGCTGTGTGAACAAAGATGGCGGATACAAATGTACCTGCAACCCTGGATGGACCGCACAGAACTGTCAGCAACTGTCAGGTGAGTTCTTTTCAACGTGTAGCAGTCAAAGTTTTGATATAGTATTAAGGAATTTCTTTCTTTATCAGTCTAATGTCCCTGACTGAGTGACTATCATGTTTAGAATAAGTTTAGAAAGACCAACATCTATGTACTGTAATTGCTTACTAGTATTATATGCAGCTAGTTCCATCTAGCACATTTTTGTGAAGATTTTAAAAATCTTTTGACGCAGACCTGAATGAATGTACCAGGAACCCATGCCAACATGGACGCTGTGCGAACAAAAATGGCGGATACAAATGTACCTGCAACCCTGGATGGACTGGACAGAACTGTCAGCAAGGTGAGTTCTTTTCCATGTGTGGCAGTCAAAGTTTTGATATAGTATTAAGGAATTTCTTTCTTTATCAGTCTAATGTCCCTGACTGAGTGACTATCATGTTTGGAATAAGTTTAGAAATACCAACATTTATGTACTGTAATTGCTTACGAGTATTATATGTAGCTAGTTCCATCTATGACATTTTTGTGAATATTTCAAAAATCTTTTGACGCAGACCTGAATGAATGTACCAGGAACCCATGCCTACATGGACGCTGTGTGAACAAAGATGGCGGATACAAATGTACCTGCAACCCTGGATGGACTGGACAGAACTGTCAGCAAGGTGAGTTCTTTTCAACGTGTAGCAGTCAAAGTTTTGATATAGTATTAAGGAATGTCTTTTCTTTATCAGTCTAATGTCCCTGACTGAGTGACTATCATGTTTAGAATAAGTCTAGAAAGACCAACATCTATGTACTGTAATTGCTTATTAGTATTATATGTAGCTAGTTCCATCTAGCACATTTTTGTGAAGATTTTAAAAATCTTTTGACGCAGACCTGAATGAATGTACCAGGAACCCATGCCGACATCATGGACGCTGTGTGAACAAAGATGGCGGATACAAATGTATCTGCAACCCTGGATGGACTGGACAGAACTGTCAGCAAGGTGAGTTCTTTTCCATGTGTGGCAGTCAAAGTTTTGATATAGTAAGGAATTTCTTTCGTCATCAGTCTAATGTCCCTGACTGAGTGACTATCATGTTTAGAATAAGTTTAGAAAGACCAACATCTATGTACTGTAATTGCTTACTAGTATTATATGTAGCTAGTTCCATCTATGACATTTTTGTGAAGATTTTAAAAATCTTTTGACGCAGACCTGAATGAATGTACCAGGAACCCATGCCAACATGGACGCTGTGTGAACAAAAATGGCGGATACAAATGTACCTGCAACTTTGGTTTCACTGGACAGAACTGTCAGCAAGGTGACATTTTTTGTTGCATTTAAAGTTTAAATGTAATATGAATGAAATGTGCTGCTGTATTTGTAATGCCCATATTATTCTGTTTTTAACAAAATTGAAGTACCCAACATCCGTGTATTCCAGATACTTGTCAGATGCTTATGTCCTGCTAAAGTCATGAGGTTTTAGTGCATTTAGATTGGACAGAGATTCTCCAAGAACAGTTTTTTTAACTACTACTAATCAAACTTTGAGTTAAAAGCCAAATACAGTAATCGTTTATGTTACAGCCAGCACATGTCCTACAGGGTGGAGTGGATATACGAACCACTGCTACAAGTTGATGAAAAACGCAGCTGAATGGAAAAAAGCAAAGTTACAGTGTGAACGACTCGGTGCGAATCTGGCTTCTATCACAAGACAAGACGAGGCCAACTTCATCAACAGTATCATCACTGACGGTGCGTAATACAACAATGATCACACCAGAATGTTTCAAGGTAGATCTCAGAAACAATAGAAAATCGACTGTCCTAATTCAGTAAGTTGTCCTCAAAATTCAGGTGCCCAACCGCTTTGGTCACGTGACCATTCGGACACGTGACGTCAGCAATTCGTACTAGGGAGTGTATAGCGCCCGCCGTCTTGATGATCGTCAACAGGACAGGTCAAAGAAAAATAAAATATAGAACAGAAAAGTGCCTTCTCACCTAAAAAAATCGTATTACATATTGGGTTAGCATAACATGTCTAACTGGCTAACCCGGCGCATAATTATAAATTGTTTCAATTACAGCTCCTGTAGGGCAGTGGGGTGTTCATCTCGTCTGGTTTGGACCGTAAGTTTACGGATGGGTCACAGGTTTCCTACACAAACTGGGAGTCGGGTCAGCCCAACAACAACCGCCATTTCTTAGCAGGATTCAAGCGACGACAGGACTGCGTCGGCATGTACTCAAAGGTGTGTACTCGAATTTGCTGAGATTGCATTTATTTCTTTATTTCAATTGTTAGGTTTGCTAGACTATATGATAATTATACAATGTCGTTATGTTTTGTTGCAATGCCCCTTTTTATTTGGTCGAGTAGAGGATTGCAAATCTGAGATTAAGGTTCTACGCATCTATACGATTATTTTAGTTATTTTTATGTTTCAGTATGGATGAAATATATTGTGTTCCCTCATGTTTCTCCTCTTCCTTCTTCTCCTTCTCCCCCTCCTTCTCCTCCTCCTGCCACTCGTTCAGAGGGATTCAACTCAGCCATCATTCAGCCAAATGACCGGAAATTTTGCATGGAGGTAGAGTGGACAAAATTCCTCCAGACGTTTTTTTTTTTCATTTTTTTGAAACATGGCTTTGAAAATTTTTTATGAAGGTTTTTTGGGGCATTTTTCGACAAAAAATGGATTTTTGGATCCTGCAGAGCCCTGGTATTACAACCAAATGATATGACATTCGGTATAAGGGTACCTTGAACGTGTGTCTACAGAATAGCAGTCACGTATTTGGCATACACCACTTCCAAATGACTCATTTGGGGGACTTTAATGGCTATTTTCAGCAAAAAAAGGGCCAAAAGTGCTGTACCCGTTCCATGTTCTATCTAAAGAATGGCCCGTTCCATCCATGGAACACGTGTTCCATTGTGGGTTACCTGAGGTCACATTGCACGTAAGTTGTGCGTAATGACCCACACATTCAATTTTATGTGCCTAAGATCTTCAAAATGTATCAAATCTCACCATTGTTAGTATTTGCATACCTGTAATAAGATTAGTAAAGCTTTCGAGATTCAAAGTGCTTGTTCTTGCATCTTTGTTCTCAATTACATAGCTACTATTTACTAGTAATTCACTTATTTGAGAACCTTTGCCAGTTTTGCACTGGGGTAAGTTTGGAACAGTCCACTTTTGCGTGGGAGGGAGATGGACTGAAATATGCTGTATTTTGTCGGCCTCTCTAGTTCTCAATATGTCATCTTGAACCCTGGAGTAAGACTGTAAAATTCGCACATTCTGACAGATTTTGCGAAATGGTTACGTCGATTCATTATTTACATACATCCGTTACCAACTTAAGTGCCCCACTGTCATGTAGTGATTTTAAAAGTTCATGCTGATGAAAATAATCATGTATACTTCTCTTGACTTTCTTTTCCATGGGTATCTGGTCGAAGTAACGGTAATATACTGTTTTGTTGTGAACATCCGTTTGATATGGGTAGAAGCCATATAGGGTGATGACGTCACAAAATGTACTGGCGAGGGTGTAGGTGTTGAGTCCGGCAGTTGTAACCACCTCTCTGGAAAGGTTGCTGTTGTACTTCTCATTCCAGAACCTAAATGCAAGACAATTTTTGATTAGAGTGATATTTGACAGAGATACTGTAATAGATGAAAGAAAGTCAGGACCCACATCCGAATGAAGCATTTTGCGATAAATCTTGCCGAATGGGGTCAAAACGGACCCCGATATGTTTCAGTGACAGATAGATAGATAGAAAGAGTGACTGAGAGAGAGAGGGAGAGAAAGACAGAGAGATTTCATCATGGGACACTTACGTTTTGATATATTGCCTTGGTGGAGACACCGAACACGTGATTGTGATGTTAAGATCCAACCTCCTTATCATCGCGTTTAAAGCAGGAAGGTTTGTGTGGGTGCCGAGTGTATAGCTCATTATGGAGTTATTCCGAGAAATTATCCATTCGGGGTCAAAATGGATCCAGTTTAACACTATGCGGTTGATAATGGTCATGTTCGTCTTCTCACCGACATCCTGAAACAAAAATATTAATAACCCTAAGAGCATATATCATTACAAGGATTGGTTTCTTAATGTTCACACTGTACTTGTTAGATAAAGAAACTCGATTGCTAAAATTAGTAATGTGCTAACCCTGTTCAAAACGGGCTTTAGACACCCGCTCCCTGTAAAATCAGCCCAAGGCTCTTCCAGTAACCATTTTCCGTCCGAAAATTGGTAATTTTGCTCCATGATTGTCAATATACATTGGGATAGTGCAGTTTCAACTCAGTATGGAGATAATGACTGTAATATTGGCTTTGAAAAATCGGGTTTCCCAGCCCTAAAAACTGTACTGGATGCCTTTAAGATCTCATATTGTAAATATACTAATAAAACATTGCATTAGCATCTATAGTAATTAGTTAGTATTTATAGTAATCAAAATCACATGTGAAGCATGAAGGCATTGTCACCTGTTCGAATGTCTTTAATGGAGCATCATTTACTCTGATAACAAAATCATTGCGGTCAATGTCGTCCCCACAGCCGCTGTCACGGAGAATGCCGCTATTGCCGACTACTGCGCATGTCCGGTAATGTCCCACTGGTGTTGTCATGACAACAGACGTTCTATTTTTCTTACATTGGTTATGGTCGATGATGGCGAAATTTGTTGATAGGTTGAAATAGCGACTTGTCTGATTGCTGAAACAAAAAAAGTAAAATATTTAACTTGTCTACATGCATATGACTGATACATTTGACGCTATATGGCACAAACAATGCTATTATTTCCTATACCGTCTGTGCAACTCCTCAAACAACATTATCCAATCTGTTCTCAAATCCGATGTAATATTCCGCAACAGATTCTTCCGCAATATCTGGGACCGTCTGTACATATAGACATGTTTTTACTATTGTTACTATGTGTATTTTTATTTGTATGTTTTATATGGGTGAGTTATGCCTGAAATAAAGAATAAAAAATACAGAAAGAATATTGTCAGCACTATTATTTGAACTATTGCCTTCTCCAGAAAGGCTATATCATCGGTAGCATGGATTGGTAGGCCTTGAATTCTTGAACACCTCAATCCACATCAACCCGTGGCGTCGGGTGGTGTAGTGGTTAGAGCAATCGACTATGAAGCGGGGAGACTCGGGTTCGATTCCGAGTCGTACCCGGTACATGTCTGAACATGCGCCCCGACGTACGTTGTGCCCTTGGGAGAGGCACTTTACACGACTTCACACTCCACCCAGGTGTGAATGGGTACCTAACTTCGGTTGGGGAAAGTCGTATTGAGGTCACCTGGTGGCGCCGAATGGCAGCCGCACAGACCCTTGCGACAGTTCCACAAAAATAATTGTGGAACAAATATGTGTGTCATGTGTATTATTTGATTGTTGTAATTGTTGTGATTTAATTTGTATTGATTATTATGTGATACCCTGCATTAATTCAGCCATATAAAGGCTGCGACTGCACGGGTACTGTTTGGACAATAAACCTTTTTAAAAACTCTGGTCCTTGAAGGCATGACTATTTCTTGTTCTTTTCTGGGCTGGTGCTAGGTACTTAGTAGTTGGTACGTCCACCAGTTTATTAGTCATTTTGTACATCATGCAAAGTTTGGTCATTTTTTGTCTGTCTTCCAGCGACCCCCACTGTAGGTTTCTTTTCATTTCCGTGACACTAGCACCCCTTTCATATTTGTTTATACAGAATCTTGCAGCTTCATTTTTGTACCATTTCCAGATTGTCTTTGTCTTTCTTTGTATATGGATCCCTCTTAATAAATAATTGTGTTTTGCAAATGTTTTGAATATATACTTATCTACAGCACGGCGTGTCAGTCAGTCTGTCAGACGTTCTACGGCGTAAAACGGCACGAAACTAGTGACAGAGTCACGGCGGCCCGACGTGATTGGAACGCGAGCAGATCCTCGTAGCCAGCGATAAAAAGTATCCAGTAAAAGAAAGGCGTGTTCAGTCAAAATCGTTTTCGGTCAGACCCCTCTGGTCTCAGGGCTATAAACGAACGCACGACTGAAGAGAAACCACATGTGTGAGACCACCCTTGTGTTGAAATTCAGTGTCCGACTCACATCCAATCAGGGACCGGCGGCTTCTTCCTGTCGCCGATCCTTATCTAACAATGGGGCCTTGTAAACAACAAACATCTGGGCTCAGGGATAACAAAGCCAGGAATTTGCTCCACTAAAACCCCGCTTATCTACACCGTAGAAATCAGTCACTCAAGCAACTGGATAAAAAAAATGTTGAGATACACTTACCTAATACGAAATGCTGATGTAACGTTGTACCAGTCGATGAATGAACCCCTAGTGCCAAAGGCTGTAACTTTTCTCTTCCTCAGGGGTTTTGTACTGAAGCTGACGCAAAAACAACAAGAGTTCCACGATCTCATACCTTCGCCAAATGATGTTAACACTTGCGGTTGACGAATTATACAATTTTAATAATTGATTTCGCAAATAAGAGCGTCATTTGCATGGATTACATCAGTTGATCATATTCTCCACCCAATGACAGCCTTATCTTAACAAAATAGGCTATTCTAGCACTTCCACATAAATTATGCAAATGAGGTCATAATGTGAATAAATTATCTTCATTGATGTTCACCTTCACTTAACTTCCAAATGCGGCAAGTATGAAATTCCCAGCAATTACAACTATGAAATTATAACAATTTCCCATTAATTATGCAAATTAGGTCTTCATTTACATAGTCTATATCCTCAGATGTTTTTCTAGTTCTCAATTACATGTCACAAATGTTTCATAGTCCTATTATCGAACGAAGCAGATTTATAGAATTTCCTCATTTATTATGCAGATTAGCTCCTGATTTGCATAATTGTCATCTGATTATGTCAAGCATCACTTCAGCTACCTACACACAAAAAATCATGACAATCCGTCAACCGGTTCTTGAGTTATGAACCTTCGGAGATTTTTCAAGAAACGCTCCTGCAGTTCCAGAACAAGCTGCTAGGGGGTCTAAACGCCGGTCACATCTTCCCTACCCCAAGAGCTATCTACCAACCAAATTTCGTGACCCTAGTATGTCTAGATCGCGAGATATCAAAACCGGAAGTTCCGCTGCAGTACCAACAAAAGCCGCTAGGGGCCCAAAATCTAATTATTCTAGGTCTCATCAAGACCTACCCATCTGCCAAGTTTCATGACAATCCATATTAAGCTTCTTGAGTTATGCTGTTCACAGACAGACAGACAGACAGACAAACGCGACTGAAAACATAACCTTCTTGGCGAAGGTAATAAGAAGTTGTTTATTGCAAATTCATGCCCGAGGGCTAATTGCATACAGACATTGACAAGAAAAGTGTGGTGATATAAGACTATTTGCTAACAGGAACTTCTACGTGTACGATATACTTATCGAACCTACTATCTCTACTTAAATCTAATAACATTTGTATACATACAGGATAAAAAAAGTAAATATGCAATATGTGAACAGGTATAGGAACAAGGTAACTGGCTATTCTAATCTATTCTTTTCTATCAAACTACAGTATTCTTGTCATGCTATTAGGGGGTTTGACTTCTTCTCAGGAGGCAGTGGGAGATGAACTGTCCGACTCTTTGAAAAATAAATGGGTTGGGAGTCTTTAGCAATAATATAGTCTTTTGTTGTTGGTTGAGATATGAAAAACTTGGGGAAATATTGGCGACTTCTTTGAATAACTTTTTCTTTCAAAATCGTGATGAGGACACTGACCGATAAAAAACAATAGTAACCGTAGACTATACTTCACTTCAAAGAACTTTAATTCAAAGCACTGAACTAACGAAGAAGACATATCAATATATTATTATAATAAGTTTAATTCTAAAGCATTATGTATGTACGCATCTTCTTCGATTGGTCTAGCCTAACAAACTACTGTTCTGTTTATTGTTACTCAAACAAGAAGGTAAACATAAAAATACTTACTTCGTAAGGTTGTATTTCTGCAGCAGGAAGAAAGATAAAATCAAAACTACAGCAAATAAGACTGGAGGAGTGGGGATAAAAGATCTCTTTATAACCTTAGCCATGTTTAATTAAGGTCATAATAGGCCAAAGTTCATAATTGTGGTCGAACGGGTTGGAGACAGATTGACCTTCCTGCTGCCTAAGCCGGCATACCTTAGGGTGCAAGTTAAAGGTGCCCTAAGCGATATCTGGCCGATATTAGGCTGGGAGCATTCAATTTCAAAAGTCTGTCTTTTTGTCACATTTTCACGTAGTATGTTGAATCAACCCTATCCTATCCCATACCGATAGTCATGGAGCAAAAATTCGATGCCGCTTTGCCGTACGAACGCCGTGAAAAACTACGTGCCTCCCGCCGCCGAACAGGTGTTCTGAAATATTTGGTCCGGCTGAAATAATCGGTCCGGGTACCATATATGGAGCGTGGGAACAGGAAGTGAGCGTGGCTCAAAAAGTACGAAGGCCCACAGGATCAAAAGCCTATCACTACACGCTGCGACACGTTATTTTTATACAACACACGATTAGCTTGACTTTTACTAACTTCAAGAGGGAAGATTAGTATTACCGTTTCTGATCTGTCTTATATTAAACTTGTTCTTTCCTTGATCTGTAAATTTTTCAGAACGCCTGAAATGAACGGTCCGCCCTCCTGAAAATCGCAATGTTGGCCTATAATATCTTATGAAACTGTTTTTTCTACTATATCATGGCCGAGGTAAACTTGTCTCGTACAATCAACGTCGTTGTTCTTGACACTGAGCCTTAATCTCTTAGATACTAGGGGCGGACCGTTTATTTCAGCCGGACCAATTATTTCAGAACGCCTGAAATAAACGGTCCGCCCTCCTGAAAATCGCAATGTTGGCCTATAATATCTTATGAAACTGTTTTTTCTACTATATCATGGCCGAGGTAAACTTGTCTCGTACAATCAACGTCGTTGTTCTCAACATCGACCCCTAATCTCTTAGATACTAGGGGCGGACCGTTTATTTCAGCCGGACCAATTATTTCAGAACGCCTGAAATAAACGGTCCGCCCTCCTGAAAATCGCAATGTTGGCCTATAATATCTTATGAAACTGTTTTTTCTACTATATCATGGCCGAGGTAAACTTGTCTCGTACAATCAACGTCGTTGTTCTTGACACTGAGCCTTAATCTCTTAGATACTAGGGGCGGACCGTTTATTTCAGCCGGACCAATTATTTCAGAACGCCTGAAATAAACGGTCCGCCCTCCTGAAAACCGCAATGTTGGCCTATAATATCTTATGAAACTGTTTTTTCTACTAAATCATGGCCGAGGTAAACTTGTCTCGTGTAACCAACGTCGTTGGTCTCAACATCGACCCCTAATCTCTTAGATACTAGGGGCGGACCGTTTATTTCAGCCGGACCAATTATTCAGGCGTTCTGAAATAATTGGTATTACAACCGAATGATCTGAAATATTTGACATACACCACTTGCAAATGACTCATTTAGGGGACTTTAATGGCTATTTCAGGCCAAAAAAGGGCCAAAAGTGCTGTACCCGTTCTACGTTCTATCTAAAGAATGGCCCGTTCCATCTGCCGTTGGCCATGGAACACGTGTTCCATTGCGGGTTACCTGAGGTCACATTGCACGTAAGTCGTGCGCAATGACCCAAACATTCAATGGACCTATACCATTATTACGTCACAGTTTGTTTACCGCAATGAATGCCGGTCAATCGACGTTTATATTGTACAGAGGTGCGTAGCGCGGTGCGTGTTTGTGTAGCGTTAGCCTAATATAAGGCTTTTAATACAGTACTAATTTCGTCTAATGTCACAACTAAATCACCCATGTGGCATGTAATGCTGTGTCAACACAACTAGACGCAGCAAAAATCAGACATACCTTACTTTGAAAACTTTGAAATGATCTTTATTCTTTAACTGACCGTTCTATAATGTTCTTTAGAACAGGTAAACAAACTGTGACATAATAATGGTATAGGTCCATTGTATGTGCCAAAGACCTTCAAAATGTATCAAATCTCATCATTGTTAGTATTTGCATACCTGTAATAAGATTAGTAAAGCGAGATTCAAAGTGCTTGCTCTTGCATCTTTGTTCTCAATTACATAGCTACTATTTAATTCATTTATTTGAGAACCTTTGCCAGTTTTGCACTGGGGTAAGTTTGGAATAGTCCACTTTTGCGTGGGAGGGAGATGGACTGAAATATATGCTGTATTTGCTCCCAAGCAAATGTCGGCCTTTCTAGTATACTCTGTTTCAGTGTCCTTTTATGTTTGTAATTTGCAATTAGCCCCCTGACATGAACGTGTAATAAAGCATGCATGTTAACAAAGTGGGTAATAATACAGTCTTCAATGAGAATGAATTAACAACAATAGTTGCATCTAGCCGTCGAGTCTGGCTGCCAGAGTGTTGCTGAGTGGCCAGGTCTCAGCTCCGTACAGGAGGATTGAGACCACCGCGGCTTTGTAGACACGAAGCTTTGTGCCTAGCGAGATGTGTCTGTGCTTCCAGATCGGTCTCCAGAGCGCCTGCATGGCCGCTGCTGCTAGTCCACGCCGCCGGTCAATCTCGGGTTTCAGATCACCTGTCCTGGAGACTGTAGACCCGAGGTAGTTGAAGGTGGACACGAAGTTTACTGTGGTGTTGTTAAAGCTGAACGGTGCAGGGTCAGGGCCATCCCCTATGTGCATCAACTCAGTTTTTGACCAGTTGATACTAAGGCCAAGCTTGGCGGCTTCTGCATCAAAAACTAAGGCCAAGCTTGGCGGCTTCTGCATCAAAAACTAGTTCTCTGGGAGTACGCTGGTTCGACCACCTGCCTGGCACCGAGCTCAGGCAAAGGACCCAGCAGCCTCCTGCTTCCCGTGTGGCAGCGATGCGCCGAGTCCGCTGGTACGGTCATGTCCTACGACTCCCACCCTACCACCCCACACAGGCTATCTTGAACTTCAGCCCCCAGTCTGCGGGGTGGAAGAGACCGCGGGGGGCCCCCCGCACCCGCTGGTCGGACGTCCTGGCCAAGGACCTGGCCCTGGTCAACATCACCCCCGAAGAAGCGCAGGGGCTCGCCCAGGACAGATCGAGATGGAAGGAGGTGGTCCACCTAGTAGGCTCGACGCACATCGTGCAAGAGGACTGAGTGAGTGAGTGAGTTGCATCTAGAATTGGACACGTAGGAGACTGATAAATGACACCCGAAAAAAATGACATGTGCGACTTAATTCGATACCTTGGATGTACATTATATGATGTAAGGTTACCATATTGTTTCTCTCATCTTAGTATGATTTTATGAATCATATATTATTTAAGTTACTTTGATTTTGTATCAATTTCTAATGTGCGTAACTTTATTTGATACCTTTGTTAATTCTGAATTGATTTTGTTGCTAATGGCTTTTGTTTGCCCCCCCCCCCGTAATCATTGTAAAACGCCTTCAGGCGATATGTATTTCCTGTTTAAAGAACTTAACAAAGAAAATGTTGTTGTTCTTTATTCGACAGACTGGGGGTACCGGCTTGATGTTGATGAATTCACATGTGAAAAAGGGACAGTGGAATGATGACCAGTGCTACCGTCCCTATCCGTTCATCTGCAAGCGTCCAAAATGACAATGACTTGTCCCTCGGCCATTCCGAGATGGGGACCGGGACGAGATCAGGGTGTACCTATGGCATCTAGCACTGTAATATCATCCTCGCTGTCTGAGGGGTTTGACTTCTCTTTTGTAAACCATGGAAGACGCAATGAAAAAAAATGTTTGTATATGCATTGTAAGTCTCCTTCTTAGCATTTTCCCAACATGTTCAGGGTCAAAATGTGAGTTATTGGAATGCCACAAAAAGGAGTATCCATTGTGATGTAATATGTCTTTAACACGTTGCAATAAAGTCCGTCTACGGGTATTTGTTGGAAGGCTTTGCTGTAAGAGATGTGCGTCCCTTTGAAGGGGGTGTGAGGTTGTATCCATTTGGGTCAGGCGTAACCAGAACTTAACTACATATATTCAAATATCTATATCTAAAGGAAATCTACCTAATTCTGCTCTACATGTATAATGAACACCTACCACAAACAGGCAAACCTGTCCTTGGTGCTGAACACCTTCCACACATGGGAAAACCAATTTCCGCAATAATCAAAGAAATTACTACCATTTTACACAGCACTGGAATTTTTTCAAAAATAGGAAATGAGTGTTTTATTTTTTTGAACCTGAACTAGAGTTCGTAGGGCTCATGCCTTCGACTGTGTGATATTGTTTTGGTGGGTGTTTTTGTTTGTATATGGTAGTATTTTTGTGTAGATGTTTACTGTTGTTATTGATGATATTTATAAGTTAATGCAGTGATAAATAGCACTGGGACTGCAGGACTGAAACATAAATGGGACCGGGACTGCAAGACTAAAGCATAAATAGGACCGGGACTGCAGGACTTAACGGTAAGCCTAAATACCTCAACCGTTACCTCAACCGGCCTCAACCGACCGCGTAATGGGTTAATATGCAGTATACATGGGCTAACAACCTTTTCCAACGATCTGGATACATTGTCTATGCTTGTATGAATGGAAAAAAAACACTGTAACTCTGACGTATTTACCAGTTTTTAAAAGTTATTCATCGTTGGGCCATCGTTGGGCCTGCATGGGGAATCTCCGGACACATTTTGCTAAATTATACAGGCAACAGAACGCAAAGATGCTGGTTTATAAAGCACAAATACTATCATAACCAACTCATAATAGCTATATACAGAGTGTTTTCCAGTCTGACATCCAAGCTGCTAAGCACATACGCCTACCGGCTTGACCTCCATTGACCCCATTCGGGGGTGGGGGGTGGCTAGACAGATCATTTATTTCAATAGTTGGATGTCGATCTCTTCCTTCATGCTTTTAAATTTCATTCATACAAGCATAGACAATGTATCCAGAGCGTTGGAAAGGGTTGTTGGCCCATGTATACTGCATATTAACCCATTACGCGGTCGGTTGAGGTCGGTTGGGGTATTTAGGCAGACCCGGACTTAATGGGGTTCAAGGGTAAGGACTGGAATTTCAGGACTGAGGTTACAATTGGGCCTGCAGGACATAATTGAAAGAATTGATAAATTCTTCACGAAGTTACATATGAAGTTGACAATTAATCCCTCAGTCTGTTCTCATATGGAAATTAATGTAGTGCTGAGGGCCTGTTTTACTTGCTGACTATGTAACTTTTCCACCACTTCAACTTGCTTTTGTGTAATTGGAAACCGAATACTTGCCCCGTATTTTATGTGTCATCTTATGAATGCCTTGCACAATATAGTACTATGATATGGATGTTATATTATTCACAGACATGTGTGCATTACCACCCCGCTCACCCCCGATGTCATATTGAACGGTGCCCATGTGATAGACAGTCAGTGTACCAGATGTGTCACATGGATTTGCCCTTTGCCCTTGAAAACAACCCATAGTTTCTTTAAGCGATCTGATGAAAGAGTCAGGCTAAAAGGCTGGTGGTTTGTGAAACAAAGAGGTAATGTTTTTAGTGAGTCAGGGGCCAAGAACCTTCTTATTCTAAAGCATACTAAATTAATCATTGGTGAATTTACTGACAAGCATATAGAAATCACACAGAATGTGGTGGTAATGGTTAAACATCCAAGTAATAAGATATGCAAAATAACAGTTACTTAACCAACTGGATATGATTTTAAAAGCGCCCAAGAAAGTGTCATAAATAGCATTTTGATATACAGTACTAACTTGTCAGGCCTGTTGCCTGAACAAATAAGACTCTTGTTATAAGGACACTTCACGGGTGCTGTTGTTTCAACAAACTCTACACGCTGCCAGTGTTGTTTTTACCTGAATCTAGTTCACACTATCTATTATCTTAAGAACGAACAGAGACCTTCCTATCTAGTTTTGTGCTAAAAACAAACCAGATGACAAATACTTCTTTAAAGTGGCTCAACTATCGTACAACTTTTAAAACTAAACGCATAACTATTATAAGTCATGTTAAACTTACCATATAGTAAAAACCGTGCACTTCGAATGCTGTCTCATGGTCCACTAATTACAAAAAGTTTAACAGGCACTTGTTATGTTCTTTCAAACACTTCACATTATACCTATTTGTAATATACATTACTACCTCGCTTTTTCCAGGGTAGCTTCGCTTCTTAAAAGAACACTTCAGGATTACTATTATTTCAACAAACAACTCTAAACCCTTGCTGTCATTTTGTTACCATAACCTACTTAACCCTGACTACACTGTCCTATATACAAGGACAAAACCTTTGCCTATACTTATAAAGGGAATACAAATTGTTCTATCATATCAACACACAGCCTACTACAGATTAATCACATTAAGTCACAATTTACATAATGAAAATCTCTTCCTCTTGATTACATATGCCACCATTTTAATTGTTTTATCACAGAACCCAGCAAATATATAGACTTCTGTCATTAATTATGTAAATTAAATCGTGATTTGCAAAATATTCTGCAAATTAGGTCAAGCATCACTTAAGCTACCGAGATACCAAAAATAACAACAATCCGTCAACCGGTTCTTGAGCTATCCTACTTCAAACATTTTCAAACAAATGCCTCTGCATTTCCCAAACAAGCTGCTACGGGGCCCAAACTTATGGCACTTTTTTGTGAGCACGAGAGCTACCTACCATCTAAAAATCATGACCGTAGCACGTCCAGATCACGAAATGTAAAAACCAGAAGTTTCGCTGCAGTACGTTCTAATTCAATGACGTGGGGACCCCCCACGAACTCCATATCCGAACTTGACCTTGGTATTTTCAATGGTAACTTGCCAACTAAAAAACATGAACATCCATTTAAAGATTCTCGAGTTATCTTGCACACAAGAGAAAACACAAAAAACAAAGGTCAACTGTAGTGACATAGAAACCCCCACGGGGCCCATCTTCGAACTTGACCTCGGCATTCTCAACGGTAACTTGCCCACTAAAAATAATGAACATCCATTTAAGGATACTCGAGATATCTTGATGACAAGGAAAAAACACCAAAAACCAAGGTCAACTACAGTGACTTAGGAACCCCCCATGAAGCCCATTTTTAGCCTTGAAAATGGCCACCCCCAAATCAACCCGCCTGCCAAAACTCGTGAACCTCGGACCTTGCCTTCAAGAGTTATCGTGCCTAATCTGCCAAACAGTGCAAAAGCGATTTCATAGCCTTCTCCGAAGGCATAGCCTTCAGTCGAAGGCAAAGACGAAGCTCAAGCCGACGCCAAGATACGAGCTGTATAACAATAGCCAGACGACAGCATTGTGACTGCATGCAGTACAGTAATATTACTCCATACAGTAATATGTGTGCCACACAGGGGCATGCTCCTAGTCTTTTTCGAAAAGTGTGGTGGGTTCTTTGCTACCGCTTGCGCCACACGACCCCACACAATGCCAGTCTAAACATTCATAACGCTATGACGTAAATGCAAATGATCTTACATTTCTTTTCCCCAAGTATAGCTGTACGTAGAGGTCTAATAGCGTTGCTCAAACAGTTCCCAGAGTTAGATGTTAGAAGTCTACGAGATGAAAAGTATTTCCACACAGCATAATCAGCCATGTGACCAATATGTAATGTCATTTGACATTGACTTCTCAGTTGAATAAACTTCTACTGAATGCCAATTATCATACATTTCCAATACACTTCACGCAAAAAATTAAGGTTACGAAATATACTGTCACAGTTAGAAAAGACACTGTAATATAAGGGGTAAGCCAACACCACACTGTACTTGTCACTGTAGGACTTTATTGTTTGAATAAAAAAAACAAGTGTCAATAGGCGACAATTCTCTGTGAAGTTTTATGTTTTGCAGATTGAGAACAGTATAGTGTGTGTATACAGTGTGTGATCACTTAACAACTGGTAACAAACGTATCGTAAAAATGGCTAAATCCCTGGTCTAATAATCTAGCCTGACTAAAAATAAATCGCGCTCCTGGTGGCCACCTGCCCAGAAGTTTGCCGCCCTCCCTTGGGGAAACAGTTGCAGACTGACTAGTGTAAACACAGGCTACATAAAATTAACAACATGACAATCTAAATAGATTAACAAAGTCAGATTTCATAACAATATCTGTCATTTACTACATATTATTTATTTCACGAGGTATCGCAGTAGGTGCAAACCACAATCCCAAAAGATACTCGCAACCATTATGCACAACAGCCACCTAATATCTGCTTAGAGACCCTCGGCTACCAGACAACTACCTAAACCTACAGCCCGTATTCCACAGGATTGTAAAAGTAGGGATGTTTCTAAAATATGCATTTACTTCAATATCAAAACTGCTACGGTGAAAATAAAAAGACGTGCATCATCACGGACATAATGGCGCACCACATACCCAATTACACAGTAATACAACGTACAGAACAATGCATTTTTACTGACAACATCTTCCAAAAACGGCCCCATACCTTATACATGGGGACGAAACATCTGGCACTACTTATCGACCCCTCCCAACATCTGCCTGAAGCAAACTCTCCCCCCCCCCCGTTATTCAAAACAACGTTTCTTTCTGGACCATTCCAATTTGTCTCATAAATGTAGGGGGTGCATCTGAAATATTACATTGACCGCGAAAACAGCAACTGTAAAAATAAAGACACGTGCATCAACACGGGCTTGCCTGCAGACGACGTATAAAATTGCATGCCAGTGTTTTGACTGCGAACACGGAAAACCGTCTACCCACAGTACTCCGCCAGGAGGTATACCTCCTTCACGGAGTAACAAAGAACTATATACAATTATAGTAACGAGTATGCATGGTCCATTTTGTCCAGAGGTAATTAAGGACGAATATCACTTTTTGATTGTATGTCCTAAATATATTGATATACGCAATTCACTATACACCACACTATCAGCTTCCATACCAGCATTGACCTCAGTGAACATGAAAACAGATTTAAATGTATATTGACTTGTGACAACCCCTACATGTTTGTTATACATAGGGGTATAAGACAATATATTTGAAATTCCTCTAATTATTGTAGTACTTCACACCTATCGTATACTAACCCAACACTCTTGTATTATATATATATATATATATATATATATATATAGTATATAGTTAGGTTTGCCCCATGAAAGTGTAGTCGATATGTACTTGTAGATGGCATACTTTGTACCCTACAATTGGTGTGCAATAAAGTTATCTAGTAAACGGGAAACACCCCTAATCCTTAGCCTCCTGTGCAGGCCCCGCGGCGGTGCACGTGGGGAAGAGTTTTTAACGCATATTATTTTAATATAGCCGGTCATCCTACATAGCCGCCGAGACATGGTTCCATTCCGCGAACCTTCTCTCGGCGGCGATGTAGGATGGCCGGCTATATTAAAATAATGCGTTAAAAACTCTTCCCCACGTGCACCGCGGCGGGGCCTGCATAGGAGGCTACCTAATCCTGCCGAAGGTTTCATCCACTTCACCCCCCCCCAGGTAATGAAGTGGTCGATGTCGAATGTTGATGGGGTCGAAGTTGTCACGGGTGAACCAGACCTCCCAGGCTGTGAGAATCCGCTAAACGCGTTTGGGATGGAATCTGGCGCCATACCTGATGGCAGCATCACGGCATCTTCGTTCATGACAAATGGCTACGAGCCCTACCATGGCCGGTTAAACGGAGCGGATGGTCTCGGCTGCTGGATGTCCTTTCATAACCCCATCCGGGAATGGTTGCAAGTAGGTAGACACTTGGTAAAAAGTTGTACTTTGTTGTTCCAACACAACGGTTAAACAGAGATCAAAATTTTAGCGACCACTGTCGCCTTCATCAGAATAATGAATGACCAATCACTTCCAAACGTAATCTCGCAAGAGTCACGGTTACAGACACGTGACCTTATGACATTTAATCTCTGTTTAACAGTTGTGTCGGAATAAAGTTAATTATTTTACTATGGCTACTACTAACTTAGTTGCACGTTCATGATTATAAAAAATTAGGTAGACACTTCAATGTATTGAAAAACATATTTTGATTTCACTTGGAATGATTATAATTTGCTGCGTTTATAATCCAGGCCTCGCCGCCTTAAATGCTTACCGCCTAATTTCAGCTACAAACAAGTGTTATCAGCTAGATCTGATGTGTCATAAAACAAATTATATATTTTAGGTGGACTTAGGAGAAATGAAGACCATCACAGGCACCGTCATTCAGGGAAATGAAATGTATGTCCAACGTTGGGTGACGACGTACAAACTCCAGTACAGTGCAGGCGGTGTTGGTTGGATAACATATGTCGACTTCGATCTGTCAGACAAGGTAACTTCCACACACACACAAACGAACGAACGAACGAACGAACGAACGAACGAACAAACAAACAAACAAAATGTTCTGCAATTTTACTGACATCTGTTTGTGCCACACTGCTAAGTTCCAATTATCTTCCCACAAAGCTCTCCTCTGCCGATCACATGTGTTTGTTCTAGAAGATACCTATTTGTGTATATTTGTGTGAGCTTATGTTTTATCTCAATTAAAATAGTTCTGACTAGTGGAATGTCAAAGGTACGGGGTGGAAGGATATATGGAAGAGTAAAAAACTGATCTATTTCCCTTCCAGATTTTTCCAGGCAACATGGACGCGAGCACTCCTGTATTTAACCTTCTGGACAACACAGTTGAAGCCCGTTATGTGCGTTTCTACCCTCAGTCCTGGGAAGGAGCTCAAATCGCCATGAGGGTGGAGATTCTTGGCTGCAGCATAACCGGTATGTTTCTGTTGTTGTGTTAACTACAGCCAGGTCCACTTCTTTTACCATTGCTAATTGATATACCATACAGTTCCAGTCCTTTTGGAGTTGACCCTCGGTGGTGCCGCTTCTGGTCATCTCAAATTTCAAATTTGATTCGGTAAGGCTCTCGCCGGCAGATACCCGAATCTCGTCCTCATTACATACATACATAATTACGCATTAAAAACAATGATTTGTTACACTCTTTCATTGTACGCATGAAACATAGCAATCACACTATTAAAACATTTCGAAAATGATTACACAATTAATATCTATACATAATGTGCGGTTACCACGTAGGATTAACTAGATACTATAACACTACTAGTTAATTGTTTTGTTATAAAGAAACGAACGGTGCAATGCAGGAAAGAATTACTAAGTCTCTTAGTCCGGGCTTTAGGTACTCTGATTGTGCCAGAGTTTCTGAGTGAGCGTCCCTTGGCACCACATCTCATCGTTTCTAGGACAGTCTCGCCAATATCGCGTCACAGGCTCCATGCACTACCAGCGGGAGGACGGGTCGGGCTCGTACCAGGACCCTTGTCCCGCATTCTCATGAAAATATGGGGCCTCTTTTTGTCCAGAAATTACCACCACTTACCACCACTTATAATAACTTTGTTTCTCCTTCCAATACTCAAACGAAATAAAGATATGGAGATTAACCATCGTCCAGATTTAGTTAACACAGAAACTAGAACTAAACACGTGTCAGTAAAGACACTGATGCTGGGGCACTTTCAACCATTCCTGCAGAACCTTTAACATCAACAACATCGTTAACAACAACATCGAAATCAATAACCGAACAGCAAAGTCTAGCGCCTACTACACGACTCGACCAGACCAGTACAGCTCTCGTGCCCACACACCCAACAACAACAACAAGGAGAAGTCGTAGACATCATCCCTCCATGAAATAGCTTGTTATTTTGTAATCTTTGGTGTATTTCAATAGAGATATTATGAGTCAAACTTTGTTTTTATCAGCAGAATGATTTGTGGTGGCACTTTGTATTTAATATCAAGCTGTCATGTGCAGGCGTTTAGTGTCTTGTTACCATGGTTTGTTTACTTTGATGGCCAGCAGGTCATTTGCCTTAGCCTGGGTACCATCCCCAGTAGTATATTCGCAAACTCTATAACTGTTATAGAGTTTGCGAATATACTACTGGGGATGGTACCCAGGCTACATTTGCCTGTACATGTAGGTCAATGACCTGCAGACCAGACAAACAAGATTTATTTTCCTGCACACTCTGTCTAGGGGTAAAAATAGATAGGGCTGCCTGGGTCTGACCTGCCAGCTGGAGGTATAAACAAAAACACTCTGTCCCAACTTTTGGGTCAAACAGACCATCCTATTATGAAGTAGGGGTGAAAAAGTGAAAATCCTTTTAAATTAAGCAATGAAAATATGCGACAACCTGCTAATGCACTCCAAAACACAAAGAGACTCAACAACTACCCACATACCAAAAATCATACCAAACCATCCCCCAGATTTTCCAAACATTCAACACAAAAAGTCCAACATTAAACATTTTGTAAATATCAAACGCAAACAGCTAGGGGACCCAAATTTAAACCACTAAACCATGGTAATAACAACTACATGCTACCTTAATATCGCACAAACAGTCCATAACGCGAAAACAACAGAATAAAAAAATTAAACTGCAGTACCAAGGTCAATCACCAGGGGCTCAAAGTCAACCTACACAATCTCCAAGGCCCCATCCATCAATCTGCCAAATATTGTACAGTTCCTTCTCACCGATCTTCAGATATCAGACCAAACATGAAACGGAGTAAAAACAGTACCCCCATTTTCATGGAGGGTAACAACAACAACAGCAGGAACAACTCTTTTTATTTTCGAAGATAAGGCCACACCGGCTTAATTTTATGGATAACATCCTCTGAAGACCCCCAAACTAGTGCGCGCGGGCGGAAAAAAAGTCCGGCCAAAAAAATGCTACTAAACCACAGGAATACAAAGCTGATATTGTGAATTTGCGGCAGTACATAGCGAGGCATACGGCAAGCAGGCACATGGTGGTTTTTAATTTTGCGGAATTTATGAATCGGCACTGTACGTATATTATGTATTGAGTTCTTGAGTCGCGGAACTTCCGTAGCCTGGGTGTCATCCACTGTGGGTGTCATCCTCCATTGTTATCTCCGGCTCTTTTACTTTTCAGCTTTTTGCAGGCAATACGGACGAGAACACACCTGTAACCAACCTACTGGACAACCCCATTGCTGCCCGTTATGTGCGCTTCTACCCTCAGTCCTGGAGGCGTCACATAGTCATGAGGGTGGAGATTCTTGGCTGCAACATTAACTGTAGGTTTCTGTTGTTGTACTAGTCAGTTTACTGCACATTCCTGGCATTATACCATAGTCTCCACCAGACTCCTTTTGCAGGCTGAATAAATCGTAGAAATCGACCTTAAAAAAGGCATATAATTGGCCAAAAGAGTTTCCCGGCCATCGAGGGTCGAATTGGCCTGCGATTTTTAGGCCGATTTCTACGATTTATTCAGCCAGCAAAAGGAGTCTGGTGGAGACTACCATTACCACATCTCCACTGCCATGGGGCTGGGATTCTAGTCTGTATTATTAAATGACAATTCACCAGTTGAAATTATTCACCTTCGTTACTGTAAGGATATAGTAGGTTTTTTTAGAAATAGCGGTAATTTAGCATCTAGGGCTGAATTGGGCAGGCTGCCATTAGATATAGATATTTCACTACGTGTTATCAAATATTGGCTCCGACTTGCACAGATGGATTGTAATAGGCATCCGCTGCAAGCTGATGCTCTTCTGTTTCAACAAAATGCACATTGTCAGAAAAAAACCTTGGTACATCGTGTGAAAGAAATATTAGATTCTCGTGGATATTCTTATTTGTTCTGTTCATGTAACTCTACTTGTGACATCAAGTCTGTATGCACCATGTTAAGGTTAAGAATTTCTGATATGTATGTACAAACTATTTCCCACAAGTTAAATATTGATTCTGATAAGCTAAGGTTCTACAAAAAAACGTAAAACAACATATTCTATGGAAAAATACCGGGACTTAATTGATTTTAACAATTAGTATATAGTAACAATTAGATTTCTGCAATAAGTAAATTACGGATTAATGCACACCCTCTCGAAATTGAGAGAGGGCGTTATAAGAAGCTCCAAGTGTACAATGTATGAACGAATTTGCAAACATTGTACGTTGAATACGGTGGAAGACGAATGGCGATTTATCTCAAATTTTACTCTCTATCGCAATGAACGAAATGAACTCTTTGACGTAGCCTCAAAATTCTACCCAAACTTTCACACATATACAAATGAAAACTACTCTCCTCTTAACATCCGAAAACCCACAAATAACAGAAAAAGTGGGATCCTTTGTCTTCTGCTGTCTTCAAAAAAGAAGTCAAACCCAGTAGATTTTACTAGTAGTTTCTTAGTAGTTCTATGTGTACTAATTGTTTTATACCATATGTTTCTTCTGTTCCTGCAATTAGCCCTCGGGCACGAATTTGCAATAAAACATTACTAACAGTAGGGTTCCGTTCTTCCATTGCATTACAGACACTTGTAGTGTTTTATAGTTGCTAATCAATATGTCATGTATTCCCAGCTACATTGCTCTGGGGGCTGACCCTCGATGATGCCGGGTTGAGTCATCTCACCGTTTCCTGGAGAGTCGAGGGGAGACTTCCGATCTCGCGCTACAGGCTCCGCTACCAGCCGGCAGACGGGACGGGCTCGTACCAGGACCTTTCCCCCGCACCAGGACCGGACGCCACCTCAGCCGCCGTGCTGGGACTGCTGGCCCACACGGCATACACTCTCACGCTGACTTCTTTTGACGAGGACGACCAGCCAAACGGAGGTATAAACGGAACATGTGAACAGGTGAGAAAAAGAAATGACTATAAGACCTCCGTCTAGTACTGTATATTCGAATTCTTCCAAGCTGCTTTGCTGATTTTGGGCAAATGTAATTAAGATTTTCTACCTGTAGGTGACATATTCATGACATACAAAGTCAACTTATACCTCTTTGTTCCCCTCCCAGTCTGTCAGAGTAAGCTTGGGATGGAATCTGGCGCCATACCTGATGACAGCATCACTGAATCTGAGCTTGATAGTAGTGCATCGGGATGGCCCCAACGTGGACGGTTAAACCATTTTGGTGGCTGGGCACACAAATACAACGGTATCGGACACTGGCTGCAGGTATTTACAAAACTGTGTTGATAGACTTTTGAAAGATCTTGCTATCCTTATTTGGAATCAGATGTTTGCTGTAGACTTCACGCAAGGCGATTCCTTCAATCGCAATACTCAAGTTTACCTAACTGCCGTATTCGAAAACGCCTCCATCCTTGTCAGGAGAAGAGGCGAGGGCATGATATGTGTCAAAATAGAGCAAGTTTGGAGATACAACAGCCGTACTTAAAAACGGTATTAACCTAGTTGTTGCCAGTTGACTTTACGTCAACAATATTATAGCTGACTTTATGTTCATGTTTCACATGAAAGGATACATTTGAGGGATAATGCCTCACTTTTTCATCAGCTAGATCTACTCTTATCTTGTGTATTTCCTTACATCATAACGACTTATAAATAATTTTGCAATTTAGGTGGATTTAGGAAACATGAAGCACGTCACAGGCACCATTATTCAGGGTCGCCATCGGAATGAACATTGGGTGACGTCATACAAACTCCGGTACAGTGCGGATGAAATGATCTGGAAGACATATACCGGCAGCGATGGCTCAGATGAGGTAATTTAGAATAGAAACGAACAAAACTGTAAGATGTACCTAACTTGAGTTCGCAGCCACTTAGTCCGTGTTTTTTTTATTTGTATTTATCACTGTGTTTCTGAATGAATAAAAATATCATTAATTCTGCCCGGCAAGCATTAAGCTGGCACAGTACATATAGGCTATTGCCACACTGTCCCCCTCTCACAAAGCTCTTCTCTTTTGATAACCATTAGAAGGTGACTATGGCCGTTACAAGCTTAGCTCAATCAATAGTTATTTATGGTAGATGAACGGCACGGGGGTGGTTGTCCATTATAATAAATAAAAAATGTCTACGGAACAGTTGCAAAATGCCCTGAATCTGAATTATCCGCTTATCTTTTAGGTTTTTCAAGGCAACACTGACATGATCACTCCTGTAACGAACCTAATGGACAACCCAGTCGATGCCCGTTATGTGCGCTTCTACCCTCAGTCCTGGAATGATATCCAATTCGCAATGAGGGCAGAGATTTTAGACTGCAACACCAACAGTAGGTTTCTGTTGTTAGTTGGATTCGTTAAAGTCTGGTTTAATTCCAATGTTTTAAGTTTTTACTAAATGTGTCATACATTTCCAGTGACATTGATATCGGGACTGAGCCTCGATGATGCCGCGTCTGGTCATCTCACAGTTTCCTGGAGAGTCGTAGGGAATCATCCGGTCTCGCGCTACAGGCTCCGCTACCAGCCGGCAGACGGGTCGGGCTCGTACCAGGAGCTGTGTCCAAGAAATCAAGGGCCTGATCAAGAAATCAAATGTTTGAAAAATATTGTGTAAAAAATGCCACGGCAGAAATGTGCTGATAGTTTACTTTTTCTTACTTACATTGTAGACGTATACAATTCATATTTTCCACTGCATGTGCTCCTTCCATCATTCTCTTTCCTTCCCAGTCTGTCAGGTTCCACTTGGTATGGAGTCTGGTGCCATACCTGATGGCAACATTACGGCATCTTCGACCAAACGTAATGATTACTTGCCCTACTACGCACGGTTACACGGACTATTCGGTTATGGCTGCTGGGTACCGCGTAGCAACAACATCGGACAATGGCTGCAGGTAGGAATACATTTTGATACATGGGAAAATCTTGTTGTGGCTGTTTGAAATCGATTCTTATGTTTACCTTCACAGAAGGAAAACATATTCATCTCGCTCAGTTTCTTCTCCTTCTTCAAACAAGTAAAGTCAATGACCTCAACCAGACCTCTGTCACCAGCCTGCTCACATATGAATGTATTTAGTTTTAAGTAAGAATGAACAGTGCAGTAGTTTCTTGGTCTTGACCAGAAGAAGTTTCGCAAATGTTACCTTTCTACTTTCCAGTTAACTTCTTGCCATTCTTTCAGGAATCGAACTCATTGCCTCTCGATCTCGTGTTTACTAGCCTAGCCGATCGTCCACACTTGTTCTATATCGAAAAACCTATCGTGTTTCAGGTGGATTTAGGAGAGATGAAGCGCGTCACTGGGACTGTTGTCCAGGGCCAAGAATGGGCATATCCACAATGGGTGAAGTCGTACAAACTCCATTACAGTGCGGATGGGGCCAATTGGACGACATATATTGACAGCGATGGCACAGAAATGGTATCTTGAATACTAGTATCAAAACATTTTATTCTATTAATTTCCCAAATACCAGGAAGACATATGAAATAATGTTTCCAGGTCTTTTTGTATAACAGAGCGTTTTGATCCATCGGTTTTTATCTACACTATTGATGCTATTGTCTTAGACAGAATGCATGGAGATTTTGTGGCCATTTGTAGCGATGACCATCAAGACCTGTACTAAGTACAAAAACCCTCATCTGAATTATCCGTTTACCTTTCAGGTGTTTACAGGCAACACTGACAATACCACGCCTGTAACAAATCTACTGGACACCCCCATTGATGCCCGTTATGTGCGCTTCTATCCTCAGTCATGGCAAGGTGCTATCTCCTTGAGGGTGGAGATTCTTGGCTGCTGCATTGACAGTAGGTTTTTGTTCTCTTGGTTCTGAGCTTACGCCACACACTCACACCACCAATTGCGTTAGTCGTTATTCAATAGTAGTTATACTAAACACCTTTGTTCATAAGGCATACTACCAGGTGTTTAAAAACCCAGACCCGGGGAAGACCACCCAAAAGGTGGAAAGACGAGATACAATCAGACACAGGGCTCACCCTGAGGGAAGCTGAGACTATATGGCCTTGGATAAAGCGGGCTGGAGAAACCAGACAGAGGGGAGCAAGGGGTCAGATCCTGGCCTGAGCACTTAGGCAGCCAGGCATACTAAAATTGAGTCAGTTATTGGTAAAGATATTTTCACCAAGCCACTTTTTTTCTTTTGCTACAGTGTGTCCAATACCAGGCTACGTTAGTTTTAACAGGGTTTGCTACAAGGCCTTTAATGAGTATAAGAACTACGTTTGGGCTAGACAGAGGTGTGCCGAAGACGGGGCACTGCTGGCCATGCCGAGGGACAGTGCCACAAGCGCTTTCATATACGACTTCGTAGACAGTAAAACAAGTTGGATTGGGCTGACTGATATCGAGACAGACGGCCAGTGGGTATTTGAAGACGGCCAGACTCTTGTGTTATCCGGTTTTAGCAACTGGAGAACTAATGAGCCGAGCGGTGGCACAAGGGAAAACTGCGCTGCAATTTACGGTCCTGAGAACCTCTGGATTGATGCAATGTGCAACAGTTTCCGTGGATTCATCTGTCAGCTGGGTAAGTGTTGTGATTGCACCCTCATTTTATGTGGCACAGTCTTGCCATCCCTCTGTGAAATTATACATAATTACTTTCAGAAGCCATAAAAAATAGGAGTTTATGAAGTTAGGAGTTTTTAAACTGTTTCTCTTCATCTGCATTTCCAGGAGTTTGTGTTGACCCACCGACCCAAGCCAACACCATCGGGCCCGTGTGTGACTGTCCTTATCTGCCGGGGGAGAACTGCACCTACCCATGTTCCCCGGGATATTACGTCACTTCCGGTGACGCCATAACCAGGACATGCACGTCAAATGGGTCATGGACAGAACCGGATCTTTTCTGCCAACCTGAAGGTACGAAATAAAGGCTACCACTGAAAGGAAGGGAAGTCTGTTTTGCTCCAAAACATCAGTAACACATATCCATCTTCTTGTGTTAGCAATTACAATGTACGTGCTCATCTTTCTTGCAGAACATTCAACAACATCTAAAACAGTAAGTAAATCGCCTCCTACAACTTCAACGCCTGTTACAACTTCCATTGCAACTACAACGCCTGTTACAACTTCCATTACAACTTCAACGCCTGTTACAACTTCCATTACAACTACAACGCCTGTTACAACTTCCATTACAACTACAACGCCTGTTACAACTTCCATTACAACTACAACGCCTGTTACAACTTCCATTACAACTACAACGCCTGTTACAACTTCCATTACAACTACAACGTTAACACCTACTACAACAGCTTGGGTGCCTACAACAAGCTCATCAACAGCCGTCCAAGCCATCCAAGCTGACAAAGAGACAACGCGTTACGTCTTTGGTGGTAAGCGAGCGACCAAAACACTGACTCATCCGTGCAAATGTCGACAAGAAACATTTGATTTGTCTATTCATGAGTAATTTGAAAATTGACTTTTTTTATTATTTTTGCCTCCGGGGAAGGAGACATCCTTACGCGGAAGGGCTTGGTAAGACATTTAGATTTTCATGTTCGCAGCTGTTTCTCGCGTTTGGGTGGACGGATTCTTTTGGGACTCGGTATATGTTTTGATTTTGGGCTGTAGATGATGCACGTTCTTTTGTTTTTATTGTATATGTGTTTTTCGGGCGGGAAAATGGTGCCTTTTGGAGGCCCCAAAACACCCCTTTGAGCGTGAAAATGGTCACAACCGTTGACCTTTGTTGTGTTTAAAGTATTATAGGTCGGGTCCACTTGTGTGATCTTTCGCACAGACGGGTGTCCGATCTCGATACATTCTTTGTTTAAAAAAGATGCACCAAAACGCTGTTTTCCAGGGCTGCATAGCCAGATTCAGTGAAAACATGCACAATTCAAAGAACCATTGGTGAAAATATATATTTCTTTGCGGGTTTATGGTGTTGTTTTTTTACTTGGATCGAACCCGGAAGTGTGAAAACGGGGGCACGGTGTCTGGTGAAGGTAGCGAGTCACAAGTATGCAAATGAGTATTATGCAAACTTGCATACGTGCCTATATTACTATAACTTCTTGTAAACCCTTGTATATTTGACGTACTTATGGTCTCGGACCGGAGTTTTTTTCACGATTTTGGATCCGGCGGACACCCTCAGACCGAAGGGCTATAACTCCGCCAAAAAAAGTACGCCGGGAAATCTCATTACATCAGTCAACGGAGGTTTCCAGCCGGCTTCCGATACAATTTTGGTTATTGTCCGTCGACTCTATAATTTGGGTAGAAACTGTAGTTAAACGTAAATTTTGGATACGAAAAATGTAGTTTTTTTGCAGTTTTTTCAACGGACCTGCTTGGAAAAAACGAATTTTCCCAGGCTAACGGCTTATATGCTGAAATAGCTTACTACTTCCTGTTTCTGAAAAACAGAAAAAAAATATAGGTTGTTGCGATAAGTTTTTCGCAAAATCCGGTGACGCGAACCCCTAGAAATTCCACATAGAACGCAGCTATTTGGGTCATCAGGCGACAAACCGCATCACCCTTGCTCGCGGACTAATACCAAAAACGCTTCGCTGGCCGTCCAACTTCACCGCGCCGAAAAACACTACAATCCCAAGGCTTTTTGATCAATTCAAAACCTAGTTGAAAATCTACAGCGATCGCCGAGCTATGGGGAGCCAAACCTAGCGTGACAACCTCGCAGATCCGGCGATTTACTGCGCACTATTTGGAACCCTGGTCAGAATTAAACTCCGACCCGGAACCTTATAAGCAGCAAACTTCTGTATGTGACATTTCGGACCCCAGTCACTATGTTTTCTATCGAAATATTTGTGGTTTTAACGTCTGATTTTAACGGTTCCGGTTGTCATTCTGAGTTTAATAATGAGTTCATGGGTACATGTTATAAGCTGCAGATGAAAATGTTGCCCTGTGTTAACACAACCTGGAACGCTAAATGTAACACCATCAACTGTTCATAACAAACAACATATAAGAATATACATTAAAAAGCCCGGAGGTATAAAATCTCAGATTTTACTTGTTTTTTTATTTTATTGAAATTGCAACAGTGCAATACACGCGGAACAGAGGCAGCTGTTGCTGGTGTTGTGTCCCGCAAATAGAAATGAAATGTACTGGACAGGCAATACTCATTTTCACTTGAGTCTAGTGGGGGAAAGTCGTGTAAAGTGCCAGTGTCAGGACTCGAACCCGGGACTTCTTGATGTCGAGTCGCGCACGCTGCCGTTGCGCCATACGACCCCACAAAAATTCCTGTCCGAGCGTATGACTGATGCATTCCCTAGAAAGAACGTCTGCTTGAGTACAAAATTTTACCAGGCCTTGATTCAGATAGTTTCGTCCCTTTTACCACAGAACTTGATGGAGAATCTTCTGATTATTTGGATGATGAAGTTTCCACCGAGGACATGTCGCCCACGACCACACTCTCTACTCTGCCGCCCAGTACACCTCAACCTGCTGCTTTACTCACTACTCAAGTATGGTCAACACAACCGCCATTTCTAATAGAGGTAAATACTACAGGTCTTAAATTCGGCATGCCATATTTATTTTCAGTTGTTATTTTCAGGTATGGAAGAATGTTTGGGGTGGCTGAACTATTGTGTGTTTTGTGTGTCTGTGTGTTCGGATATAGTAGGTTGACAGCACGTGGATAGGGGTGGAGGGGGATTGAAAGGCAGGATGACAGGAGGCAACAGGAACCGGGTGTAGACATGGAAGAATTCAGGAAGCCGATGATCACATATATTTTCAGGAAGACTAGAATCTTGGATTTCTTGTTTCAGCTGTATTGCATGATCTGCATGCTTCGTTTTTCCGTATATTTTTCTTTTCTGAAGATAAGTTAGAAGTGGTGTAACAATTCTTTAAACTGCAGGAGGAGATTCCAGTTCTTATCCTAGCCCTCTGTAAAAAGGTGAACCACTTCAGCGGGTCCCTGGAGGATCGCAAGGAACTTCTACAAGGTCCTTTTCTGCTGTTACAATCGTTTTTTTTAACTTTTATTCATAAGTTAGATCTACAAGTGAAGAGATACTACCAGCAAATTTTTTGGCAGATCAGTTGATATATATATAAACAATTTACAGGCCATTGGACTAAAGGCACCATAGAGAGAATGTAAGAATAAATGACTATGTTATCATCACTTTTTGATGACATCACAGTCTTATCTGACTGAATTTTGTACCAAACCTACAGAAGTCACTGACGCGGCCTCCTCCGTACTGCGGGCTCAGAGCAGCAGCAGGGAGACGGTTGCCAAGGAGACGGTCATTGACCTCTCCTCCGGCGTCACAGATGGTCTGAAGAATCTGATAGACGTCCAGTCTACCGACCTGTCACCGACGGAACAGCTGATACAGGAGAAAAAGGAACAAGAAAGTCTCAAGGCCCGGGTATGTACCAGTTTCTCCCTGTCGGAAAAGGTAAAGGGTAGTTTCGTAGGCCAGTTAGCTATAGGTTAAAATAGGCTTTTTAATTGGGTTATTAATGCACTGTTTCTAGGGCACAGTATTGGAAGGCAGAGTCCATCTCTCTCCTTCCACTGCTGCATTACCTCCTCAACAAATGTCAGGTTTTCATTTTACAAGGCAGAGCCCATGCCTCTCCTTCCACTGCCTTTACCTCCCCAACCAGGTATCCGTTTTACACGAGGAAAGTCGTGTTATTAAAGTCCCATTGCCCAACGTCTAGCCCGGAATGCCAGAGATAACCTGTGCCACTCAGATACAGTTACTATTCTCTCTCTATCAAAAATCCATTCAGCTAACTGGGACTCGTGGGGTCGTGTTGTGTGCGCGACTCTGAATCAAGAGATCCCGGGTTCGAGTCCTGACATGCCACCGATCTTGTGCCCTTGGGAAAGGCACTTTACACGACTTTCCCCAATAGACTCAAGTGAAAATGAGTACTGTCTGTCCAGTATTCGTTTCTATGTGCGGGACACAACACCAGCAACAGCTGCCTCTGTTCCACGTGTATTGCACTGTTGCAATTTCAATAAATCAAAATCAAATCAAATCAAATTTGCCCCAAACTACAGGTGATTGGGGAAACGAGAGATCTGCTGCAGCTGCTGGATGCGGCAGCAGACAGACTGTTGGAGGAGGCACCACCGGAAGGAGAAAGTACGTACTTCCGGTCTGACGGTGTGATGACGGCGGTGAAGAAGGGCATACCTGATGTCGGTGTCGTGCCTATCGGTCAGGATGTAGGGTCTCTTGTGTTTACGAAGGAGGACAACCTTCCTGAGGCCTCCACTATGAAGGTAAGCAAACGCTCGTAAAGCCGGGTCGTTCCAGCTTACGTAATAATTGCAGTAAATCTGTATAAGGCGACCACTATAAGGGGGCTGTTAAAATCTAGTCAATGTGAACAGATATGTGTAGTATAGTGTACAGGTATAGTGAATGTCATCACTATAGACAGAAAAATCATCTAAGGGTCAATAATGTGCACATTGGCGAGGTGGTCCTCACGTAGAGGTAATCACAGTAAAAGTACAAGTTTGGCTGTATATCAATGGCCAGGTGGTCCTTATGTAGAGGTGGTCATTAGTACAAGTTTGACTGTATATCAATGACCAGGTGGTCCTTATGTACGTAGAGGTGGTCATTAGTACACGTTTCGTTGGTAATAACAGCATGTCAAGTTGGCATGACTGTGAGAGGTAAAATATAACGACATTTCCCCGTATCTCTCTCAGGTCCTGGCATTTGTCAAGGATCCATTTGTCTGGAGCGTCGAGAAAACCGAAGTATCCTCATCAGTTGTCATGGTAACAATCACCAAGGATACGGATGACGTCGATGGAAACCCATCGAACATCACCGTTATCGTCAAACAGACAGTGCAGTTTGGGATCACGAGCGACACAGAGCAACAGTACCACGACACTCTGCCCACATCGTACAGGCAGAACCTTGCTGATGCAGGCAGGTCGTCCTTCCCTCTATCCAAGGTTCCCAAGCCTGACGTCACGGACATGACGTATCACGCCGTGTATATCTCTGACGAAGGTCAAGTTCCTTTGATCAGATTCACCATCGATGACGTCGACTCAGAGATGCAGGTGTACTTCCGGTTTCACGACTTCCCAACTGAGGAAGAGTTCGACTACACCACAACTGTCAAGCCTCCTGGAGTCACTGATTACGACGGTTTTGAAATGCCGTACGGCCTGGCGTACTCCAGTTTTAATACATCAATAGTTCCGGAGATCCTACAGGAACGAGGATGGATCTTCGTTGGAATAAAGAGAAAAGGTAAACGTTGCCTGATAACTTTTATCGCATTTCTTAAAGCAGTTTAATGGTGCTGATCCATCATTTCAAATGTCAAAAATGAGCTTTTGCGTTGTAGTTAATATGAGAAGTTTCAATTTATATTGTCCTTTCACTTGTAATTATCATCAACTGCAATAATTCGCAATAAACGTAATTGTACATTTTTCATCATTCAGTATGAAAAGATGTACATCTGAATGAAAGTATTACTCTCCCAGGACTGAAAACAGTGATATTTTCTCATGTTTAATTAATATAATAGGCGGAGACCTGCCTCAAACTGGACTGAGAAGACTGCTAACGTCAGCGGTCCGTGCGACAGCGCCCCCTGCCGACTCTGCAGGGTTTGAACTGCAGTCTGCAGTAGTCTCCTGTACTGCTGCGGGAAATGGACAACCACACCTGGGACAGCCGCAGCTGCAAGGTTCTACTGACTTTTATATATCATCTGATCTGATAGTATCTTACCCGTTGGTTTGATTTAATTTGTAATAATTTATACCCATTTTTAAAGATTCTTTATTCTTCTTAAATTAACAAGTACTTAGAGAGAGAAAGAAGGTTTTGACTTTGATTGACATACAATTGATACCACCAAGTACTGTATGGCGCAGGACGCTGTGTAGACGGAGGAATGACTTTGACGCAGGTCACTCACAATGCTGAGAAGACCTAATCAAGTACAGATAGTAGTACAATTGATACATTTTTTATCCTATCCTGAGGATTGATTAAATGAGACGTTGTGCTATCGATATGCATCGCAGGTCGGGGTTGAAACGAACGAGGACACCACACAGTGCACGTGTGACATGACACGGCAGGACAGAAGTTCTAGAGTGACTCTTGCAACATCATTTCTGGCTGTTCCGAATTTCGTGGACTTCGACAAGTTTGGTAGCAACATCGACAAGTTGTCCACAAATTATACCGTATTTGTGACGATCTTAGCGTTGTGGATGGTATTTCTGGTGTCCCAACTATTGACATTGCAGTTAAACATCAGGGTACGTCAAGACATCTACGATTTGATATTTTATGATATATTAAGCACGATTTGGACGCTTATATTTCTATCCTCTCGGAGAAATTGCATTATTATTAAGTGACATGGAAGAAAAGAAGCAAAAACATTTCGTTATTGGGTTTGGGTTGGACTGGGGCTTTCAAATCGAAACCACTTTGTTGTGATATCATTTCATTGTGGCATAAATCTTGACATAATTGTATAATCATTTATGCACTATTGTGGTCACTTAAGCTTTTTAACGTTTGTACGTATATTTACTGTTGGCGTCAACATAAGTTTTGTAAAGTGGGGTAAGTTATAACTATTTCAGCAATTGTTCTCCTCATTTGAATAAAAAGAATCCAATATCTGCTTTTTACAGAACCAGGTTGCTATGAGCACGGCAGTGGCCGACAGCTCTGCTCTTGGACAAGCAGCGACGTTCGCCACAGCAAGCCCCGCGTGTCCACCATCCCGTCAGAAGTTCCCGGTGCGGAGAACGTGTACGTGGTGTGTGTCCGTACGGGAACACCGCCTGATGCCGGCACGACTTCTGTGGTCGGGCTCATGGTCATAGGATCGGACGGCAGGACACCCATGGTCACCCTCAACCCTGATGGCTTGGTGAGACCACCGCATGAAATTTGATCTTTCAATTAAACCATGCGTGAAGATTTTGTTTCTTCACTCCAATGGAAAAAATGGAACCTTTACCCACGCTTTACCCACGTATCCTTAAAGAATTTTTTTGCAGTGAACAGTGTGGACCTGAACAATGAAGCTCAGTTCAATCAACTGCTTTGTTTATATCTCTAAGTCTCTTGACACATATATCGCAGAACAAGCAGAAACCATATGTACAATCATAATCATAAAGTTGAAAACGTCTTTAGGTCCTGGCCAGAGGTGGAGACACGTACCACATCATGTCGACTCCCTCCTCCATCGGCCAGCTCCAGTCCGTACAGGTCTGGCACGACGGCTCCGGGAAGGGCAGCATAGAGTCACTATTCATAGACAACATCAAGGTCTGGGACATACAGACATCACAGGGGTGGGTACAGTAGAACTCGTTTCTCTTCCTAGAACTATCGTAGAGTGGAACTCGTTGCCTCTAGTCTCCACCAGACGACTTTTCAGGCCGAACTAATAGTAGAAATCGGCCTAAAAAGAATGTAGCTGGCCAGGGAAGCTTGCCGACCATAGCTGAGGGTCCAGTTTGCCTGCACGGTGTCTGGTGTCACGAATACTACGTTGCCACCATGTACAGTAAAAAAAAATGGTCGTCGTTACTAGGTAGATTTAAACCTCTTTAGACGTGACGCACAAACAGGCATCACAAGGGTGGGCAGATGTACGTTTCGGCTCTTTGATTTCTAATTTCTGTCTAAACGGGGCCAGTAATTGTTGCTGGGCAGCCTTTGTAACCCTTTAATACTTCTCATATTGGGTCAGTTAGTCCTTACTCTCAGTGAGTCGAGCTTATCTAGAGCATTGATGTTGTTGACGGCATGCCCGTGGCCAGAATTTTGAGGGGGGGGGGTTCTTCCCATGAGGGACCAGCGGGCCATTTCACCGATTTTCTACTATTTCACCGATTTTCTACGATTCCAGCCCCGCTGGTGATACGAATCAGTCAATCTTTTGGAGAAAAATCTTGGAACTTGAATCTTAGATAAAAAGTGGACCAAAAAGTTGGCCTTTGAGTCTTGGGGGGGGGGCGAACTGGCTACGGGCATGTGTCATAGGGAGAAGAAATACTGTTCCAGTAACCCTTGGATTGTGGCCTTTACAGATTCTATTTCCCGTGCAACGCCTGGCTCTCCTCCAGCAAAGGAGACGGCAGGACCATCAGGACCATGAGGGCAGCTCCTGTTGGGGAAATGTGGTAAGACCTTGCTTCTTTTCTCTGTCTTGAAGAATTGGATAGCTTTGAGACATGTCCTTATATGTACCTTAGGATGTCAGAGTACAACCTACCGACGTTTTCGTACCTTCTGTACGACGACCACCTGCTGCTGTCAGCCGTGTGTAACTCCGGTGTGAGACACTTCAGTCGGGCACAGCGGATGGTCTGCTGCCTGACGCAGATCACCCTGTGGATTGTGGGCAGCGCCATGTGGTACGGCTTCAAACTTGGCACCGGCGATGTCGTTTTGCTAGACGCCAGCTTCGTCACTTTCCGCCTTTCGGAACTGGCTGGTGTTGCAGCAACATCGTTCACGGTGTTCCTGCCAGTTTACGCCATCCTTGTGCCGATGTTTCGCACGCAGCATCCGTTGGTAGATCAGATCCCTTCGGGTCTGTATGAAACGCCGAAATCTCCATCCACCTGGCGATTTCCGATTAAGCCGGTAGCGTGGATCCTCGCCATCCTGACGTCTGTCGGCAGCAGCTTGTTCGTGATCGTGTACACATTCTGCAGTTTGGAGCCGACAGAAGCCAAGCCTGGCTGAAGGACTTTGTCCTGGCCTTCATGTTCTCTACATTCGTACTGGAGCCTATTCAAGTTGGTATTCTTCATGTATTTAGCTTTCTTCGTTTATTTCAATACTCTTTAGGCATATACCGTTATCCACAGAGATCACAAGATACAGGCGCACAGGTGGTAACAATACTAACAAATAATTATGAGATGTCTTGATTTAAATGAAAAAAGAAACATTGGATGGCTTACTTTAAAACTAGAAAGAACGAATAGGGTTTAAACGTTAAATGAAAACGTGGTTCAGGCAGCACGGATACTGGGGCTTATTCTTCAGCACAACCTGAAATGGACAGAGCATGTCACCTCGATCGTCGGGAAAGCTAGTAAGAGACTCTATATGCTGAGAATCCTGAAGAAACATGGTCTGGACACAAGTGATCTCATCCTCATCTACATCGGGTTTGTGCGGCCTGTGTTGGAGTACGCATGCGTGATATGGCACCCTGGACTGACCAGAGAACTGTCGCAGAAGATAGAACGAGTGCAGAAACGATCACTCAGAGTAATACTTGGGTCGGAATATGACTGTTACCACACGGCCCTGGACACTACTGGACTTAGTAGATTAGATACCAGACGTGATGAACTGTGCCTGAGGTTTGCTCGTTCTCTCACAAGCAGTGAGAAATACCGTAATTGGTTGCCAGCACAAAGGGGGGATGTACATAATAGAACACTAAGGAACAGCACGAAACTGACACAGTTTAAGTGCCGGACACAGCGCATGTTAAACAGTACACTACCCTATTGTGTCCATATGCTGAATGACAGTTAAAGTAGTAGAACTTTAAGTCGTGATGATAGTGATTTTATTTAATTTTATAGTGATTTATGTCTTTGTTATTTCTGATTTGTAATGCATAATGCTGATAAGCATGCGATTTTAGTGGAAAAAAACCGCAATTCAACATTTTTGCTTTAAGGGTTTTTGTTGTTGAATAAACCATTCTCTCTCTCTCAAATGGTCCGGCGTTCCAAAGATGTTAACGATACACGATGGAGTATATCCTCTATATCGCGGAAGGCTTATTTCTAGTTTCTCGTACTAGGGAGGTTTTGCACTGTGTTCTGAGATATTATAGCGGCCATGTTGCCATATGTAACCCTCAGGAAAAACGAGCATTACTAGAGAACTTATAAAAGATGGATTTGACAATATCTTGGAGAAGCGAGCTTCGAGGACGATTGTGACTTAACAAATGTACGGACTTTTCAGATTTTCCTGATTGCTTACATTAAGGCAGTCATCATCGGACCTATTGTGGGGACTGTGACCGTCTGTGTCCGAGGGATTTTTGGGAAGAATTTATCGGGCAAAGAAGAACGCCCTCCACTCGGTGATATTCAGAGGAAGATCCGGGATTATGATGGTGAGTCTCCACAGGTTTCACATGTGAAACCACGGTAGACTGTCACGGCCGTTTTGGCCATTCGCTTTTGCAGACTTGCCTTGTTTCACAACTATTATATATAATATTTTTTTTACATCTGTAGAGACTTGAAAAGGGAAGAGCAGCGATGACAATGATATTAATTAAAGACAATACAGTTATTGAAAGCTTTTTCTCTAAGGTTGCGTTTAATGCGTCGTGGCTGATATGTACTGGCTTAAAGAAGCTTTATGTCTACAAAACATCTATAAGCGTGGAAACATTCACTCTGAAATTGACACGTCTTTGTATATAGCATTTCATAACGCTAACGTCATTGGTGTTCTTCATTCCTGGTTAAGTCCCTGCACGGAGGGTTTTGCCGCCAGCCCCGAAGAAAACCGACCATGACCCGAACTGGACCGAGAGGATGACTCAGGGTAGAAACATCCTGGTCCTCCTGGTGTTCCTGCTGATCTTCACCGGCAATGCCTTCTACATCGGCGTCCTGGGCTTCGACAGACACGCCTACTACGTCAGGACTTCACTGGAGAACAGCCTGCTGTCTGGATATGACGAGGTGCGGTTTTTAACCAGTTGTCTAATTATGAGGACAAAAATGCCACTTCTTGGCAATGAACTAACTTTATGGGAGGGAAATGTGGTTATTAAAGGAGATTGCGGTGAACGTTAACATTGGTTTTTAAGGCTTGTGGGTTGTATTCCCGGTAGAAGAAATACTTTTGAGGGACATAGTTCCATAATTTGGAAAGAAAAGGTTGCTGAGGGACTTACAAACTGGCATTTGGATAGTGCAATGATGTGATGTGGAAGGAAACCTGGTGGTACGCTAGAAAGCTCTCAATGATGCAAAAAGAAGTGAGGTCTTCGGAACATAGTATGTTGTAGGAGGAAACGTCACCGCTATACGTCGTCCTCTTCACTTCTCTGATCGATGAGTCTGTGGACTAAAATACTGGAGTTCATTTCCCGCCTACAGGTGACCACAGTGGACGGTGCCTGGGAGTGGCTGTCGTCTGACCTGCTGCCGTCCCTCCAGCCGGATCGGACCGGTTCGTTTGGGGAGAACCACCGAGTATAAAGGTGACAAAGCATCCTATTGATTCTTCTTCTTCATTTTTCAGTGCCAAACTTTATTTTCCTGAAGGCTCAGGCAAGGCAGATAAACAGTCAAGGTTTAGGTTGCCGGCAATCTAGAAGTCACAGTTGTTGGTCTGTATGGAAGCCCTCTACGTCTGGAGAGAAGCACTGAGTATCAAGGACAAAACATCCTAAAGCTTCTCTGCTAGCTGCATAAGTATGTGTCTATTCCAGTAGCCTGACCCGCTTAGTTCAGAGTCTTAGATTCTCAGTCAAGTTTCCCAATGTGTGGGTTATATTCTTTGGGGTCTAGGGTCCGTAGAAACTCCCAAGGGCTTAAATAATGCCTTATAACCATTATGGTGGTCTCCATTCTCTGTGTCACGCCTCGAAGTCACATACAGGATGGCGAAATGAGAGTTATATTCGGGAAAAACAGTCAATTCCTGCTATACCATTTGGATTAGAAGGCTAAGACGGTGTGGCCGATGGTGCTTTGATCCAATTCAATATCATGCTAAATTGGTGAGTAGGCATTTGTACTACTCACTAAGACTTCACATTGGTATTCCAGAGAACCCAATAGACATAGATCTCGAGCACAGTGGTCAAAAGCTCTATCCTGAGCTGCAGATGTTCCTACAAAGTAAAGCTGTTGGCCGACAGAACGGACGGAACTGTTCTTACAATGGGACTACAAGTATTGGCAATGAAGTCAGGTATGTAAACAAATGATTGCAGTATTTAATACCGATAGTCTCTACTTAAGGCCATGTTGATTTGATTATATGGTTGACATTCGGCCGCGCACGCATGAATTTTTAGGCCGTTTAAAAACGTTTTCAACCATACTGTAAATCGTACAAAACAGTTGCAAAACTAGCAAATATATACCGTAAGTTCCAAAAAGAATATTTAAAAATGATACCAATGTCGTAGAATGCCAAAATCGAACAAAAAAGACGAAAATGTAAAGAAATGAACTTGAAGAGTTAGATGTCATTTGTTCGTGACCACGTAGATTTCATGATGAAAGCAAGGTTTTTTTTGCAAACCTATATTTACTCGCAAGCTCGCATCAGTTTTGGGGTTCCTGGAGGTTGTCATCCATATAATCAAATCAACATGGCCTAAGTACCATCTGGCCAATGTGGCCACTTTTTTGGATACCTTAGATAGATCCCATTGACAAGCATTAAGGACGTATCTATGGTCGCCATATGTCTTCATGGACCGTACTACACATGAGGACCTGCATGCCCTTTTTCGTTAACCGTTATGGGCTATTTTAATTCACCGTTAATCGTTGCCGGCCCACTCTAATTCAACGTTAAGCGTTATCGGTATATTCATCGTGATTGGTCGTTTTAATTCAACGTAAAACGTTATTTGTCATCCTAAATTCAGCGTTAAGCGTTAAAGAATAATTCTTCGTTACGCCCAAAGTGCTGGAAAAGGCGTCATTGAAGGTTTGAAAATCCAAAATTTCCCGGGGGAGAATGCCCCGGACCCCCCTACATTGGCGCTCGACTCGCTTGATATCTTGAGTAAAAATATGAAAGCATTAGAAAGACCGCGTACCGACAAACACTCTCAACACCATAATTTGCCTCTCAAAATGCGGGAAATTGTGTTTTTGAAGGCTTAAAAATCCTAAATCCCCCGGACCCCCTCAGATTGCCAGCACCTTCGGCGCTCCTCTCTCAAAATCCATCGGTAAAGACTGGGCGAACGGGCAAAAGTCAAGCTGGGTAGAGCCCTGGCCGACTCGGACTCCCCTTTATTTGTGGACGCACTCCGGGAACAGGGCAGGTGGGAAACACAGGGAACACATACCTTTAATGGGTGCTTCATTACATGTAAGGTATACGTAATTTTGTCAGTGATCACCTTTTCTCACAAAGCGAGGATACCAAGTCCAGTGCAGCTCGAAAAAGAAGCCTATCAATTTACCGTTAAGCGTTGCCAACCGTCCTGAATTTACCGTTAAGCGTTATCGGCCCTGCTGAATTTACCGTTAACCGTTGCCAGGACCCCCCCATGCAGACCCTCACACATGGGACTACTCATTTGCCTTTTTTTTTCAGAAACAGCACTTCGGTGTGCTTCTCCACAGTAGACCTACCCCAGGACGCTGACCAGGCTGCTGCAGTGATAGACTTCCTAAAACATACCCACTGGATCCTGCTGGTTTCAGACACACTCATCCTAAGGATCAACTTCTACCACCCTGACGTGAAGCTGTTCAGCACCGTGGCCATCAAACTGCAGTACCTGCCTGGCGGCGCTGATGAGATGCAGCCCACGATCCACACCTTCCGGCTGTTCCAGTACGAAACAGCACACGACTTCGTCCAGATGATTTTTCACATCGTCTTCGTTCTTGTCTACATCTACAACTTGTTTACCGAGATTTTCAACGTACAGAAGAGCGGCCGTCTTTACTTCTGCAGTTTTTGGAACATCCTGATGCTGTGCAACATCGGCATGTCCACAGCCGTCATTGTGACATTCGCGCTTCGGTACATCCAGACTGCTGCTGCTTTGGATGACATACAGCAGGCAAAAGGTTCGTGATGACCAACTGTCGTAACTGTCATCTATTTCGTAGCAAGCGTATTCACCAACGCGTTATCCATTTCAGATGATAGACATGCATTGGACTAAATAAAATGTTAAGAAGGACATAAAACCGAAAAGAGTATAAACAATTAAATGGTTAGCAGATCGTTTGTGGTTTCCCAACGGCAAAATAATTAGACTAAGAGATAGATCATAAGATAATGGGATCCAAGAAGACAACTTGCGAAAACAGCGTTTTCATATCTGAAAACCATAATAATGTTGTGTCAAATAGTGGTTACTGGTCAAAATTAGAGATTGTCATGACATTTCGGAATTTGTCACAGGACTTCTCGGCATCCATGAGTTTGTGGACATCAGCACCGCCAGCCAATGGGACGCAACCTTCAAGGTTGTCCTGTCCTTCTCCATCTTCCTCAGTACCGTCAGCATCCTGCGTGTTCTCAACTTCTCCAGAGGCGTGGCGACCGTCTACGCACTGCCTCGGGTACGTACAGCAATTCATGCATATTTCTAATTGCTTGTCACACCTAACCACTGCACAAAGTCATTTAAATGCGAACATCGTTTAACGCTATCAATTTCAGGTGGAAATATGCTGATCTCCAAGCAGATTCTGCATTCTACACTCGGCCAATATAGACTCCCCTTGCACCACAGAATCTGCTTGGAGATTAGCATATTTCCACCCGCATTGGCTAGCGTTAAACAACGTTTGCATCTAAATGACTTTGTGCAAGCTGATCTGTCACGCCCAAGGGCGGTCATACCGGCTATACGGATGTGAACGTTTGGTCTATTCTGTTTATCCCATACATGTAGCAGCGGCCAAAAAAGGAAGTGGTAGCTTACTGCCCGATGCGCCATCAGGCACGGGAGGAACTAAAGCTAAGGATAAGGCATACATGTAAAACAAAAATAAGTTGTTGTATTCTTCCCGTCTACCCTAGCTGATGTACGGGGAAGCCTTTGGGTTCTCCGTGTACATGCTGGTTGTTATAGTGGCCTACAGCTTCAGCGGGATCCTCATATTCGGCAAGAACATAGAGAGCTTCTCCGGCTTCAAGAAAACGTCGTACGTGCTGTTTGAGATGGGGCTGGGGAGGCCGTTCGTCGGTGTCTTTGCGGACGACATGAAAGAAGTGAATCGTGTCATGGGACCTCTGTACTACTCTACATTCGTCATCATCTTCATCTTTTATCTGGTCAGTCAAAAATCACGTATTTGCTTCCGTGTACGTACGTCGGTAATGTTATCTCTGTGTGCTTGTGTGTGTGTTTGATGTTATGTTTTACAGAGCCCACATATGTTAATACCAATAACACTAAGACTCCAAGTGTGCCAGCTGTATAATAAAAATCCAATCCCATCCGATTCTATAGGAGCGAAACTAGTTAAATATCATATTTCTGTTTATGTGTTGTACTTGCGTATGTGCGTTTCTTTGTTTAATGTAAAGTTTTATGGATACCACGACTTTGATTAATGGTTAATCTCTTACAGATGAACCTGGGAGTGGGGATGTTGTGTAACTGGCTGAGTTACTGTCAGACGTCTGACGACATTGATGTGGACGCCGCCATGGGAGATTACTTCTGGAACTCCTTCAGGAGTTTTCTGGGCATGCTTCATGAGTCCCAAGACGCAGACGGTAGATGTATTTGCTTGTCAGTCTTTGTTAGCTCCTGACTGTTTATATTTTTAAGGCACCAAATTAGTCTACTATCTACAAACTTATACCAATGTATAGGTTGCAAGTAGTCATTTATGGGATGCATTTAGGATTATAGCTATCAAATATTCCCACAATTCCTAACAAATATCCCCGTGATTGCTATTAAACATCCCTGCAATTGGTATCAAATATCCCTACAATTCGTATCAATATCCCTACAATTGCTATCAAATATTGCTATCAAATACCCCCAAATTGCTATGGAATATCCCCACACTTGTTATCAAGTCATTGATTAAGAAACTCTACCGTTGCCTGTTACAAAAATACATTGTATTACATAAGGCAAAACATAAACTAACACTTCAGTGCATTTTGTCGTTTCTGAAGATGAAGCACCACTTCCGGACCACTTTGTGAACGAGACCCTCCAGCGGACAGATGCGGTACTGCAGGAAGTTGACCTGCTGACTGACGTAATGTACCGCTTTGAGTGCAAAAAGCGAAGTCCCAAGTCAACAACGGCTTCATATGCTTAATATTTTACGAAGACATTTTAAGACATATTTTCATGATATGTTGCAGTAAGTAAATAGCTGTTATACATTATTGTTATCCTTTAATAGAATATGTTGCGAAATTAATGTTAGTTGTCTATTATGTGTATATACAGATATATAGTAGCAATACTCGTATAAAGGCAATGGTATCTGTAATATAGGATTAATATATATCAGCCTGTATCTTAAAATGTTGTTCATTGTTATCATGAAGTTTTGAAAGTTTTGAATCTTTGTTGCTGCAGTGAAATCTATAAGTTTTTTTACGTCGATTTTAATTTTCTACCCCGTTTCTTCATATTCTGTGTGTGATCAAATCAACGATAAGGAATCGTCCTGTTCTGTATGATTGCAGGTGAAATCATTGTGTGAACAGTTAACGATGTGAAT